GGTCATTCTGACATCATAATTAAATCCATATATATGACTTAATTTGTCTTGTTGGTTACAATAATACATAAATATTTGGTCTGAATCCTAATTTTATGTCCTTTTATTGAGGAATTTTTGATGTCCTTATAAAGAGGAAACCTCAAATTATATTTGAATAATGAGATTTCCCAGTTGGAAAGAAACAAAACTTTGCTAACTCACAGGGAAAATCTCAACATTTTAAGGTGTTTTTCCTCAAAATCATTTTTTTTGTTGCTACTGCCCAAAAAAGTGCTTCAAAATTTTGTTTTATGATTATATTTCAGGCAGTTTGTTCAAATGAAACATTGATAAGGCTTTTATTCATTATATTTTGACAAAATTCAATTTTTGTTAACAGTTTAGTCAAAACACCATTTTTGCCTTTTTCTCCATAAACAACTTTTGGACTTAATCCTGGTTTTGATGTGATGGGTCGCATTTCTATCTTTCTGTTGCAGTTAATATTTACTTTCTTTATTCCTTTTAACAGATCAAACAGATGATGGAAGCAGCCACAAAACAAATTGAAGAAAGAAAGAAACAGCTCAGCTTTACACCTTCAGCTTCAGTAAATCATTGTTTTTACTTTTAAAATCTCAAATTATTATTTTTTTTGCTTTAACGTTTGGTTTGTTAAACCATCACAGGTAGATGCCACGGTCTCTCGTCTCCTCGGTGCTGGCGGGGGCGGTGGAGGCTCGTCTATCGCCCCCTCCCAGGCCGCCAGCTTTATGAACGATGCCATCGAGAAGGCCCGCAAGGCGGCCGAGCTCCAGGCCCGCATCCAGTCCCAGCTGGCCATGAAGCCCGGGATCCTCGGGACTCTGGGGAACACCGGGCCTCAGAATTTTGTCGCGCTCGCTAATCTCCACGCAATGGGAATCGCTCCACCGTAAGTTGTCATAATGTGATGTTTGTTTGCTCACAAGGAACTGTAAAAAATAAAACTCTGTGGAACTGCAGGAAAGTAGAAATTAAAGAGGTGAACAAGCCGACGCCGCTCATTCTGGATGAGAAGGGCCGAACTGTCGACGCCTCGGGCAAAGAGGTGGAACTCACACATCGCATGCCGACGCTCAAAGGTACGAACTCACTGTCTTTGTGTTGTAGGGTGGTCGAAGGGCTTTCTCTCTAACAAATAATAAAACTCAGGAAGAGAGGGTGGATTTTCAGCATTAATAAAATCAACAGCAGTCGTGTTTCCTTCCTGTCATCAGGTGGTGGTCGGAGCAACAGTGTTGCTCGTAGCTGCAGGGAATGTTTGTTTAACTGGAAACAAACTTTGAGCAGTAAAATAAAAAAACAAATGTTTAAAAAAATACAATTTTTCTATCATTAGTCTATATTTTATAGTTTTTAGCCCCAATTTTGATGCAACTTCAGAAGAATATGAAACAGATCTAAAGGAGGATGAGGCTGATTTACGGGTCTATAATTTCCACGATGCGGAAAACGTGGAATCTCACAGAAGTGTGTGCGTGTGTGTGTGTGTGTGTGTGTGTGTGTGTGTGTGTGTGTGTGTGT